AAAAAAAAAAAAAAAAATAGTGGGAGACATCAATATCCAACTCTCATCAATGGACAAGTCATCCAGACAGAAACTAAACAGAGAAATAACAGAACTAACAGACGTTATTGATTCAAATGACCTAACTGATATTTACAGAACATTTCACCCAAACACAAAAGAATATACCTTCTTTTCAACACCTTATGGAACTTCCTCCAAAACTGATCATAGACTTGGCCACAAAGCAAGTCTCAACAGAGATACCAAAATCTGAAATTTCAGATTTTGAAATAACCTCTGTATGTTATCAGACCACCATGGATTAAAGCTGAAATTCAGCAACAGGAACAACAGAAAGCCTACAAACTCGTGGAAACTGAACAAGTCTCTACTGAGTATCACTGGGTTAAGGAAGCAATAAAGAAAGAAATTAAAGACTTCCTACAATTCAATGAAGATGAATGCACAACATACTCAAACTTATGGAACACAATGAAAGCTAAGAGGAAGTTCATAGCACTAACTGCCTGCATAAAGAATTTGAAAAGATCACATACTAGCAACTTAACAGCATACCTGAAAACTTTAGAACAGAAAGAAGCAAACACACCCAGGAGGAGTAGATGGCAGGAAATAATCAAACTGAGGGCTGAAATCAACAAAATAGAAACACAAAGAACAATACAAAGAATCAAGGAAACCAAAGAGTTGGTTCTTTGAGAAAGTCAACAAGATAAACTCTTATCCAAACTAACTAAAAAACACAGAGAGAATATCCAAATTACCAAAATCAGAAATGAAAAGGGGAATGGAACAACAGACACTAATGAAATCCAGAGAATCATCAGGTCATACTTTAAAACCTATACTCCACAAAATTGGAAAACCTAAAAAAAAAAAAATGTCTTGATAGAGACCACATACCAAAATTAAATCAAGATCATGTAACAATTTGTTATAACCCCTAAGGAAGTAGAAGCAGTCATTAAGTCTCCCAAGCAAAAAAAGCCCAAGGCCAGATGGTTTTAACACAGAATTCTACCAGACTTTCAAAGAAGAGCTAATATTAATACTCCTCGAACTATTCTACAAAATAGAAACAGAAGGAACATTGCCAAATTCTTTCTATGAGGCCACAGTCACCCCGGTACCCAATTCACCCAAAGACTCAACAAAGAAAGAGAATTATGAACCAATTTCATTCATGAACATTAATGAATAAAAATAATAAAATACTGACAAATTGAATCCAAGAATACATCAAAAAGATTATCTACCATGATCAAGTAGGCTTCATCTCAGAAATGCAGGGATGGTTCAACATATGAAAATCTGTCGATGTAATCCATTATATAAAAAAACTGAAAGAAAAAAAACCCCACATGATCATTTCATTAGATACTGAAAAAGCCTTTAACAAAATCCAACATTCCTTCATAATAAAAGTCTTAGAGAGATCAGGGATATAAGGGACATACCTAAACATAATAAAAACAATATACAAAAGCTGATAGCCAACATCAAATCAGATGAAGAGAAACTCAAAGCAATTCCACAAAAATCAGGAACAAGACAGGGTTGTCCACTCTCTCTCTCTTTATTCAATACAGTACTTGAAGTTCTAGCTAGAGCAATAAGACAACTAAAGGACATCAAGGGGATACCGGAAAGGAAGAAATCAAAGTATCATTATTCATAGATGATATGATAGTATACATAAGCAACTCCAAAAACTCTACCAGGGAACTCCTACAACTGATAAACACCTTTAGTCAAGTGGCTGGTTTCAAGATTAACTCCAAAAAATTAGTAGCCCTCCTATATTCAAATGATAAATAGTCTGAGAAAGAAATCAGGGAATCAATATCCTTCACAATAGCCTCAAATAATATAAAATATCTTAGTTTAACTCTAAACAAGCAAGTGAAAGACCTGTATGACAAGAACTTTAAGTCTTTGAAGAAAGAAACTGGAGAAGATACCTGAAGATGAAAAGATCTCCCATGCTCATGGATTGGTAGGAATAACATAATAAAAATGTCCATCTTGCCAAAAGCAATCTACAGATTCAATGCAACCCCCATCAAAATTTCAACATAATTCTTTACAGACCTTTAAAGAACAATACTCAACTTCATATGGAAAAAAAAAACATAATAGCTAAAACAATCCTATACAATAAAAGAACTCCCAAGGTATCACTACCCTTGACTTCAAGCTTTAGTACAGAGCTATAGTAATAAGAACAGCATGTTACTGGCATAAAAACAGACAGGTGGAAAAATGTAATAGAATCAAAGACCCAGTCATAAATTCATATATCTTTGGACACCTGATTTTCCACAAAGAAGCCAAAATTATACAATGGAAAAATAGAAAACATCTTCAACAAAGGGTGCTGGTATAACTGGATGTTGGCATGCAGAAAAATACAAATACATCCATAATTATCACCTTGCACAAAACTTAAGTCCAAGTGGATAAAAGAGCTTAACATAAATCCAGACACATTAAACCTGAAAGAAGAAAAAGTGGGAAATAGCTGTAAACACATTAGCACAGGAGACAACTTTCTGAACAGAACACCAATAGTGCAAACATTAAGATCAACAATTAATAAATTGCACCTCATGAAATTGAAAAGCTTCTGTAAGGCAAAAGACACTGTCAATAGGACAAAACAGCAGCCTATAGAATGAGAAATGATCTTTATCAATCTCACATCTGACAGAGGGCTAATTTCCAAATTATATAAAGAACTCAAGAAACTAGACATCAAAAAAACCAAATAATTTAATTAAAAATGGGGTACAGATCTAAACAGATAATTTTCAACAGAAAAATCTCAAATGGCCAAGAAACAAAGTTCAACATCCTTAGCCATCAGGGAAATGCAAATCAAAACGACTGAGATTCCATCTTACACCTGTCAGAATGGCTAAGATCAAAAACACAAGTGACAGCTAATGTTGGAGAGGATGTGGACCAAAGGGAACACTCCTCCACTGCGGTGGGAGTGCAAACTTGTACAGCACTTTAGAAATCAATATGGCAGTTTCTCAGAACACTGGAAATCAATCTACCACAAGACCCAACTATACTACTCTTGGGCATATACCCAAAGATCACCTCGCCATACCATGAGGACATTTGTTCAACTATGTTTCTAGCAGCTTTATCTGTAATAGCTAGAACCTGGAAATAACCTAGATGTCCCTCAACCAAGGAATAGATAAAAAAAAAAAAAAAGTGGTACATTTATACAATGGAGTATTACTCAGCTGTTAAAAACAATGACATCATAAAATTTGCAGGCAAATTTTCTGGAACCAGAAAAAAAAATCATCCTGAGTGAGGTAATCCAGACCTAAAGAAAGACAAATATGGAATGTACTCACTCATAAGTAGATATTATCTATAAAATTAAAGGATAACTATGCTATACTCCATAGATCTATAAAATTAAAAGATAACTATGCTTTAATCCATGGACCCAGAGAGATTAGGTAACAAGAATGGTTCAAGAGGGGACATGCTGATCTACCTCGGAAGGGGAAATAGAAGAGATTCTGTGAGTGGAAGGAGTGGGAAACCAACCCAGCCACATAACCTTCGACCTACAGTCTGTCCTGCCAGTGGGACGTGCTGGGGTAAGGGTGACCTAGAGATTGAGGGAGTGGTCAACCAATGACCAGTCTAGCCTAAAACCCATGCCAGGAGAGTAAGCCCACCCCTGACATTGCCCGGAGCACCAGGACCCAGAGGCTGGATGGCCCAGAGACCTAGGATAGAACCAGACACAACTGGAGAAAAAAAAGTCCGTGTAATGATGCCTAATGATATTCTGCTATACTCATGGACTGGTGCCTAGCCTAATTGTCATCAGAGAGGCTTCACCCAGCAACTGATGGAAACAGATGCAGACCCACAGCCAAACGTTAGGCAGAACTTGGGAAATCCTGCAGAAGAGAGGGGTAAGGATTGTAGGAGTCAGAGGGGTCAAGGACACCACAAGAAAACCCACAGAATCAACTAACCTGGGTTCACCGGAGGTCATGGAGACTGAACTGATAACCAGGGAGCCTGCAAGGGACTGACCTAGGCAATCTGCATACATGTTACAGTTGTGTAGCTTAGTCTTCTTGTGGAACTCCTAACAGTGGGAGCAGGGGCCATCTCTGACTCTTTTGCTGGCTTTTAGGACCCTATTCATCATACTGAATCACCTTGTCCAGCCTTAATACATGGGAGGTGCTTAGTCTTATGGCAACTTGATACGTCATGCTTTCTTGTTATCCATGGGAGATCTGCCTTTCCTGAACAGAAACTGAGGAGGAATGGATTGCGGTTGGGGTGAGAGTGATTGGGAAGAGAGGAAGGAGGGGAAATTGTGGCCAGGATGTGGGGGAAAAAAAGGAATAGGTTATAGAATTCCAAATACAATAAATCCTGGTAAAATGAAGTTGTATTCACTGATAATGAATTTTAAGTGGAATAAATTAGATTAGGCTGTGTTTGAAAAACAAATCTGGATTGACTATTGGCAGGTGGTAGAACTGTGTGGAAGGTGAGGCCCTGGAGGTGGCAGTTTGCTGGGAACCTCCCCTTGAGGACTGTATCTTGCTCTGGCCCTTCTCATTCCTACTTTCTCTGCTTCCTGTGCACCATGGAGTGAGCAGCGTCCGCCACATGCTCCTGCTACCATTACGTTCTCAACTGTCCTAGACTCACAAGCAGCAGTCATGGACTCCAGACTATAACCTTGGAAGCAAGGAGCCAAAGTAAAACATTCTTCCCTTTAAGTTATACATGTCAGGTATTACATCAAAGCCATCAAAATCCGACTAACAACCTTCTAACCATTTGGGGAGGTAGATATTCTTATTACTTCACTTTTGCAGAAAAGCAAACTAACTATAGAATGCTTAGGTAATTTGTCCATGGAAAAACCAAGATTTAAGACTGGATTCTAACCCAAAAGTCTATGCTCTGTATAGTATATTATAGTAGTAGATTGTTACCCAAGACGTAAAAAGTCAGTGCAAGAAAATACTTAACCTATAAATTTTAAAGGGGTTCCCTGCACATACACGGGTTGACAGTGGTGTAAAACTAGACAAGACTAACGACAGAGAAAAGGCAAAATTTGCTGTCTGTAATTTGATCTAAAGTTCCTTGGTTATTTAAAACACCCATGCAATAAATAAAAATCACATAAATATGTCACTGGCTCTGCTTTTCTTCCATCATCACCAAGTCAGTAATACTCCTTTCTCTAAACCAGCGGAATAACAGAATGTTCAGAGGAACCACAGCCATCCTGTACCTCATCTATGAGCTGCTTTATCAGAGGCAGTCCTTCCAGAGCTGAACTGTCACATCCACTGGTCAAAACGCGTTCAAATCCCAGGGTTAAGAGGGTCTCCAGAGCTGCCATTGGATCACAAACCATATCAAAGGCTAAAAAAGGTAAAACTGATTTGAATTTTGAACAGAAATATCCTCTAAATTCAATAGTTTCCAAATGTATTGTGTGTGTATATATATTATAATATACATCATATATAATAGTATGCTAGATTTATACTGGCTTACAATAGACAATTATGAAAAATTCATGATTTTTTAAGTCAGACTGGCATTCAAAATTAGTCAAGATAAAGCATTTAAACCACAGAAACAAGGAAAAGTTACAAATCAGAGTTTCTTCTTTTGTTTTTGAGACAGGGTCTCATCATGTAGCTATAATTAGCCTGGTACTCACTATGTAAGCAAGGCAGGCCTCAAACTCATAGAGAACCACTTGGCTCTGTCTCTAGGGTTCCAGGATGAAAGGTGTGTGCCACCATGCCTGCTCTAAGAGTTCTTTTTTATTCCTAAGGGTTCTTTTTATTTTCTAAGAGTCAGAGTTTGCCAGTACAAAAGTTTGCATACCACCATGGTCATTTTCAGTAATCATAAGTGTTTCTCTTTAAAATAAACTTACTTAAAATTTATCTTAAAAAAGTACTAATAAGGGGCTGGAGAGATGGCTCAGAAGTTAAGCACTCTTCCAGAGGTCCTGAGTTCAATTCCCAGCAACCACATGGTGGCTCACATCCATCTATAATTTGATCTAGTGCCCTCTTCTGGCATGTAGGCAGAACACTGTATACATAATAAATAAATAAATCTTTTTTAAAAAGTATTAATACATTTATACAGTAGCATTTAGATATGACAATGTTGTAAATGTGACATGTGAATGATCACATCCGGAAAAGTGCTCGAAGGCTTCAGACAAACTACACTGCATAAAATGACACATGACACCCACCTGTCCTAGGAGAAACCTAGCCTCCCATTCACATTTAGTTTGTACTAAATCATTTACCTGATACAGTCAAGACTCATAGTGTAAGGTGGCTGTTTTTTAACAGACAACATGAGCTTTCAGTTCCATTCTACTAAGATACCTCCTTTCTCAAGTCAGGCATGGAAGCCCAGGCTTATAATTCTAGCACTCAGGAGGACCCCAAATTCAAGGGAAGGGAGCAAAGGCGAGGAAAGGAGGTTAAGTGGAAAGGAAAGGGACGGGACTTCTCTCTTCAGAACACTAAGAAAGGAAAGTGGCCTAGGAATCTTAAGAAAAACTACTTCTGCTTTGGTTCTCAACACTATCGTATGATATAAAATTCTGATGTATGGTGATGAGGCACTATGGGTCCTCGGGGACAGACTTCTCCACCTTTAACGTCCTACAGAAGCTTTCCTGGTTCAGTGCCATCGCTTTCTCAACAGTGCTTATCCTGCCTTATTAAATTAACATGTGGGAAAACGTGAAACCAAGAACACTACCAATGTTTCTATAAATTATGAAGATATTTTTGTTAGACTTATCAGAGAAAGAGAAAGGAATAGAAATTTGAAGTAATCTTTTAGTTTAAAATTTTAAAAATATATTCTGTGTGACTGGTTTATTTTTTTTTAAACTATTAAGAATGACAAAATTTAAACTACTTTTTCAGATAAATGTTCACTAATTTAAAAATACTTTTCATGTTTAAAATTTGTTGGTGTGTCTGTCATCAAGATGCTGACAGACTAACTCTCTTAGTTATTGTCGTTTTATAGCAAACATTGCTAATATCAAATAAGACAATTGTTTCTGGTAGGGTCACACATTTCAAAGGGTAACAAATACTTTATCTTAATTGCTGTACATGGAGACAGATACCGGCAATTCACTCTGGGCCTATTTAAAAAGAAGAAAACATAGCCGGGCGGTGGTGGCGCACGCCTTTAATCCCAGCACTTGGGAGGCAGAGGCAGGCAGATCTCTGTGAGTTCGAGGCCAGCCTGGTCTCCAAAGTGAAGTTCCAGGAAAGGCGCAAAGCTACACAGAGAAACCCTGTCTCGAAAAAAAAAAAAAAAAAAAAAAAAAAGAAGAAGAAGAAAACATTTCACCCTTTCTCAAGTATATCACTGTTTAGACTAAAGGTTTCTTTCTTTCCATCTGCAATGGCAGTGCCTACTGAATACAAGTGACACATGTCTCTCCATTTTCCCAAGGCTTAATAAGACTTAGCCAATGTACATGGGAACTACAACTATTAGCATCTACTTCTTGGTAAAAATGTCTGATTCTTGTTCAAACATCTACTTTCTTTCTTAAGAAGTCTACATTTGATAAAGCTGACCTCACTGTGAGCTCTAGGAATGGTTTTGCCTGGCATAAGCCAGGAGGTACATTTCATTTCAATGACCATGATGATTTATTCATTGTAGGGCTGTATACGATCTAAGGCAATCTAATAAACGATGAATCTTCAGATTGCTACTTGGATGGACACGTACACTTACAGGCAATGTTTACTCTCTTCTCAAGTACATGCTACCACCACCTTCTTAAAATTTCATAACAAAGCTTTCAAGTTTTATAGGCACTGAACACCATCTCTAAATCTGTAACTCTTCTTCCCAAGAACTAAGATATTAACTAGTATCACTGTAACACTATATAACAGTGTTCATTAGAAGGGCTGTGCCAGCTGGTAAAATTTAAAAACTGACACCATTGAACAAACCTATTAAAAACAGAAATGACTCACCTCGGTGAAAAGTGACTGGCAGAGGACGGCAAAGAGCTATAAAAAGAAAGTCATACAACACATGAAGAGGCTAATGACCATATGCAGAATTCTCCTTTATACTCTCTTCTGCTAGGACAGTGAACTAAAATAGTAACAAAATGGCAGCTTTGGCAGTCTTATAGAGTCAAAAGTCCCACCTTTCCACTAAGCTCTGACTCTTACATAAAATATAGCTATCTATACCTTAGGGGCACCAAACAAAAATTACATCAACTGTAAAGACAACACTACATCGATTATTTGGCTACTCTGCGGATCTTCAAGAAGAACTTTGACCTTATAATGTAGGTAGCTTGCGTCTATCCTCTCCACCTCCTCTCCTCATTATTGACTAGAATAACTTCTCAAGTTCTGGTGCATTGGTTAATGCAATCAATGTACATTTAAATTCTGCAAGCACAGTTGCTGTGGGGTGGTCTGTATGTCAAATTACTCTGATTGGTCAATAAATAAAACACTGGCCAGTGGCTAGGCAGGAAGTATAGGCGGGACTAACAGAGATGAGAAAAGAAAGAACAGGAAGGCAGAAGGAGTCACTGCCAGCCGCCGCCATGACAAACAGCATGTGAAGATGGCAGTAAGCCACGAGCCATGTGGCAGCATATAGATATGTGGAAATGGATTAATTTAAGATATAAGAACAGTTAGCAAGAAGCCTGCCATGGCCATACAGTCTGTAAGCAATATAAGTCTCTGTGTTTACTTGGTTGGGTCTGAGCAGCTGTGGGACTGGCGGGTGACAAAGATTTGTCCAGACTGTGGGCAAGGCAGGGAAACTCTAGCTACACGCAGTACCTGATCTACAACAACAAAGGAATGTTGAGAGGCCTTTGCCACATATGCCCTCTACCCCAAATACTTAGACAACTTCTTTTTAAGATGGGTTAATTTAAGTGTCTGTAGGTATGGCTGAAAAATCAATTTTGTGATTTTTTTTTTCTGCATCAGGAGTGTGTGTGTGTGTGTGTGTGTGTGTGTGTGTGTGTTTTAGAGGCTCTTACACCTCAGCTATAAATTCTTACCCAAAAGAGACATGCATAGCTCTTTGTCAACGTGTCCGTCTTCAGTCAATGCCCCAAATACCAAACCATCAGCACCATAAAGCTTGGCAAGACGAATGTCAGCCTTCATCACTTCAACTTCACGATCTGAATATAAAAAATCACCTCCCCGTGGTCGAATCATCACAAAAACTGGAATTTGGACACTTTGTTTTACTACTTGAAGAATACCTTTAAGAACAGAAGCAGACTAAAGTTCAACTGTGAGCTAAAAGATCTGGAGACGTTATTAAAATATCATTGGTCATATATAGTTATTCTTATGTATTATTTCCAAAGGAAAAGAATGAACAGGACAAATCAGAGAATGCTGATATACAGGGAAGGAGGCCTGTGGGGAACAGAGGACACCTTGAGTGAATGTGTAAAGAATGGATGAAGTTCTTAGTGAATGTGTACTCTTAACAAAGACTAATGCCTCAGACTCATAGAAATGGGCAAAGCCTTCCTCTGGTCCAAGTATGAGCATTTACAAATGACTGACCAGTGTGTAAAAACTAGCAACTGCAGCTTCCTCCTCCCAGATGATTGCACCCTAAGACTGCTCCCCTACAGAGACCACATACTGAGACTAGCTTACTCCTCGGCCCTGCTGTACACAGTAAACATGCTGAGGCCCCAGGCTGTTTCACAGCTGGCGCCACTCCATCAGAGTAAGCAGATCCATTACATCCCAGCTTCCCTGTATGTGTGAGGGTGTGTGTGGGTGTCTGTCTTTGCCTCATTTCTTCATTGCCTGAGTCAAGTTTCCAGGACCAAGCCATGCAGGATGCAGTGGAGGCCAAAAGTGTTTATAATAGAAGGTAAGTCATAGGAAAATCATGGGGTGAAGAAGAGCAATTTACAAAGACTGAAGACACTTAAAAGCACTTGTCAGTTGATACAATAAAAACTATTTACCTTCCAATTTTTTGATGTTTGAGGACAAAAATATGTTTAATTAAATCTTTTGATGATGTTATTTACAACCATAAGCAATTCTAATTGCTACCATAGTCATCATATACTTAATATAACATTAAATAATCAGTTGTCCCAATCTCTGTATGAGAAATTTGGTGACAAAAAAGATACTTACCCATGCTGGGTGTGATTCCTCCCTCTAGTAAACCAGCACATAATTCAATCCGACCAGCACCTTTTTAAAAACACACGTTTTTTTAAAAGTTCCTATGACAAAGCAAACTGTTTATCTAAACATAAAATGAACCTGAGAACTTAATTGAAAGAAATCAAATTATAAAATTAGAGTAAAAATATTTTAAATCTCAATTGTATTATACAACCCTCATTGTATTACTGATAGCCAAATTAAGAGTTAATGCAAGTTAAGCCAGTTCTCTTAAAATTTGTATTAGAGTTGCCGTGCATAGGGAATAAAGACATTATTGGATAGAAAATAGTAAATGTTAACTGTCAAACAATAAGAAAGTAATATCAACTTTTCAAAACATTCCTCATTACTCTAAGCTTTAAAACAAAACCTAACAGTTACTTTGGAGTAGCTATCAGGAAAATTTCAAGATGCAGTGAATACTGATAGCAAAAGAACAATCAAACTGTTGGGGTCATGTTAAAAGGTCTCATGGACAAGGCTCCCATTAGCCAAAGATAGCATATTTAAAGCATCAATAAAATAACTATGATAGATGAAAACACCTATGTCTAAATCTAGTTTTATAATGTGGAAACAACTCATTGGAAGTTAGCAAACAGATGTGTTACTTTGAAAATCAGTGAACCAAGAAGTTAGCCTTTCTTCCTTCCTCTCTTATACAAACCAAATTTCAACATGACCAAATGGTGAGAAAGATGTTCTTTCCAGTTGTATACTAGTTAATAAATAAATATAAAGCAGGGCATGGTGGTATATACCTGTAATTCTAGCACATGGAATGCTGAGGTAGATTGTCATGAGTTCAAGGCCAGTGTCAACTACATAGTGATACCCTATGTCCCTTCAAAATCAAAAGAACAAAAAAAACTCATGTGTGTGTGTGTGTGTGTGTGTGTGTGTGGTGTGTGTGTGTATGTGTGTTATATACTAAAATTATTAGATTAACAAATGACTGGAAAACTTATAAAAGATCAGGTTGGTAACACCTGAATCCACTAAATAATCTTAACATTACACAGACACACACACACAAACAGACAGACATACAGATAGACACACACACAAAAACACAAGATGATCTCCTAATATAATACAACATAATGTTGCCTATAAAGCATTTTTTAAAAATTATTTTTTATTTCTAAATTTTTACTTTAATTTCAGTGTTTTGAGACGGGGTCTCTCTTTCTATAGCCCTGGCTGTTCTAGAACTGGCTGCATAGACCAGGCTGGCCTCAGACTCAGAGATCTGCCTGCCTCCACCTCCTGAGTGTTGGTTTTAAAGATATGCACAACCTTGCCCAGCTTATTCATTTAATTTTATAAGTATGGGTGTTTTGCCTGCATGTCTGTGTATGCCTACTTCCCATAGAGGCCAGAAGAGGGCATCAGTTTCCCTGAAATTGCAGTTAAAGACAGTTGTGACCCACCATGAAGGTGCTAGGAATTGAACCCATATCTTCTGGGAAAACACCCAGTATGTGCAACCAATGAGCCATCTCTCCAGCCCTATGAAACAATTTTATTAAAACTGAATTCTGAATTGGATTTTAAACTGCTGGGTTAACAACTCAACAGGAAATGAAGTGATTAGAAAAGAATATCATATGGCACCACTTACATAATCAGCAAAATTGAGACTGTGGTGCTCTGAATGATGAACATCATAGTGCATGTAACAAATCAACTACGAAAAAAGAGAAAAATAAACCTTTTTTTTTAAAAAAACGAGGAAACCATAAAGTATGGTAGTACATGTCTGCAATCATAGCACTTGAAAGGCTTAGGTGAGAGCATCACAGTGTGAGGTCGCCCTGGGTTATAGCAAGACTCTCTCAAAACAACCTAGAATAAGGGAAGTAGCTCAATAATACAGCACCCAGCATGTACAAAGCCCCGGGGTTCAATCCTCACAGGGCACCAGGGGAACAAACCATCTGTTACAGCAACCATCAATCTTTTATTCCTTTTTATTGCCACAAAGAGATTGAGTGACAATAATCAAATGTGTTCAGCAAAACTGAAAACATGTAAATTGTTCCCCACCAAAAAATCTGCTGAAAACGACTGACCGTGACTTAAAAATGGTTGAATTTGTAATGATCACTTTTCATTGTCAATTTGATCAGATTTGGAATCACATGGGAGACATATCGCTGAGTGCATCTTTGAGGGCGTTTCCAGAGAAGTTTAACTGAGGAGGAAAGATCCACATTGAATGTGGGTGGCACTGTTGTATGGGTTGAAGTCCCAAAACAAAAAAAAGAACACAGAAGCCAACTGAGCATCAGCATCCACTTCTGTCTGCTTCCTGACTGCAGACACAAAGTCATCAGTGACCTCAAGCTCTCCACCATGCCTTCAGTGACATGATGGACTGTGTCCCTCAAACTGTGGGCCAAAATAAACGCTTCCTCCTGCAAGTTTCTTTTGTTCGGAAATCTGTCACAGAAAAGTAACTATTACAAAATTGAGGGATGAGTAGATGGGAAACATTATGACCAAAAGCAACTCAGGGAAGAGTTTACTTCACCTTGTAAGTCCATCATTAAGGGAAGCCAGGGCAGGAACTAGAGAAGCCATGGAGGAGTGCTGTTTACTGGCTTGCTCAACCTGTTTTCTTATAGCACCCAGGACCACCAGCCCATGGGTGGTATTACCCACAGTGAGGTGGGTCCTCCTATATCAATCATTAATCAAGAAAATGTGCTCATAGGCCAAACTGGGGGGATAGTTTATATTCTGAGGTTCCTTCTTCCCAATGATAAAACTAGCCAGCACATGGGAATTCACATGTTACGCCCAATTCATTTGTTTGAAAATATTCCTTAAATAAAAATAAAGGTTTGGAGACATAGCTTAGTAGAATGCTTGTCCAACACGCACAAGATCCTGGGTTCTACCCCTAGTAACACCGAAAAAAATGAGTTAAAATTATTTTTCTGATCTTGAGATGATGGAAATGTCTATGCTTCTCACAAAAACAAATTTAGAACACAAAACAAAACAGCATCTACGGTAAAAAGATAAGAAGTCAAGAACCATCTTTAATTTTAATTCTTATTCAATACTGGGGATTGCACACACCACAAGTGCTTTACCTCCGAGCTACATGCTCAGTCCCCTAAAGAGATCTCTAAACTGTTTGAAATTCTTAAATTTGTGTCAAGTTCAATAAAATAATCATGTTAATGAGCAAGCAGGATTATAGACACTTGACTTAAAATGTGACCTGCTGGGGGAAAGGGGAGATTAGACAGTCATTTTCAAAAAAAAAAAAATTGTTTTACTTTACTTTCTAAAGCAAGATCTCCCTATCTAGCTCCAGCTGGCCTCAAACTTTGAACCCCCAGGCCTCAAGCTCCCCAAAGCTGGGATTATAAGCATGTGCCACCATGCCAAGCTCTTCAGGAGGTTTTCTAGTTAGTTGTTTCTGAAAAGACTATTACTATCCAAGAGATGACAAGGGCTTTTTTTTTCTTTTAATGGATTCTCACTCTATAGCCCAAACTGACTTCACAGTGACCCTTCTGCCACAGCCTCCCAAGTGCCCAGCTTGGCAAGGGTTTTTTTGAGGTCAGACCATAGGATTCATTGTCAGACACTTTAAAAAGGTTGTCAGCCGAGATCCATTATCTAGTTTCCCTTACCTCCTCTCTCTGCATTCACAGCTGACTCCACTGAATCTACACATATTTCCATAAGAAATCCATTTGGTGCTCCTAAAATATACAAACAACAAAAATGCTTGAAGGAACTAGCAAGTCCTACCAATCTTCCACTAATACTTCAGTTTTTGCTGCCTGAATCCCAATGTGCAATAGAGAAACAAACAGATGTACTAAGACCCACCCACGTGGTAAAATGAAAACCAGTGTCTCCAGACTGTGAAGCAGATATACAGACATCTGTAAAAGAAACCAAACTGAAACAATCTTTAGTACATAGTGAATGTGAAATTAATCTTCCTAAAACACAGATCTCATCATCATGTCCTGGCTCAGACTCTTGGAATGTTTCTCAATGCTAGCAGTTACAAGGACTACATATTTAAAAACAAAGATTAGATTTCAAATCCTGGTCCCACCATTTTATTCACTGTGTGACCCTAGACAAGTTACTTTTCTATAAAACAGAAGTTTTAATTCCTGCCCTCAGAGTAATGAACACTGAGGTAATTTACATAAAGGGTACACCCACTAAGTATTCATTATCATTACCAAACTACTTATTATTTCCTCTTTATGACTCCAGTTCTCCTCAGTCTCCATCTTTGCCAATAGTTATACTAGCTAATTGACAAAATCCTTCTAGTTGCATCTTCAAATGCTAAACTTTCCCAAGGATTGGACCAAGTCACATTTCCACGTTTTTTCCCCCAAAGTAGAAAAGTTTATCTCCTTTTGAACTCCAATAACTTGAGTTATATATTTCCATTAAAACCCTAGCTTCACCTCTTACTTCTGAGATATTATCTGATCTCTATTGGTTGACATGAAGTTAGAGATTTTTATTTACAAATTCTTTATCTTCACCTCTCAACTAGCACGGGAACTACCATGCTAACAAGTCATTCAAATATAGACTAAAACCTGAATTACAAATTCACGTGTTAATACTAAAAAGTAGGGTATAAGCAGCTTTGGGTTGTTCCTGCAAGTTAAATGTGTAACTTATTTTTAATTAAAGATTTGAACGTTGGAGCCCAGGAAATGGTTCAGTGGGTAACTTGAGTTCATGCCCTGAATGTATTTAAAATTGGAAGCAAAGAGCTAACATCACAAAGTTGTCCTCTGACCTCCACACACTCACTATGCCACATGGACCCACACTGACACAATAATGATCAACACAATTTAAAAATGTTTAATTCATACTTCATGTACTGATCTCTGTAAGAATTACTAATGGGCAGTGAATTTGTAATTAATTTTACTTTTCTATATTGTTTGACTTTTTCTACCCAATACTGCTTTTACGATGGAAAATTACTTCGAGAAACAAAAATCTGTCACCTCTTAATATGAAGGTGAAATTGTCATTAGTAAAAGACTATTGGTCCCATAGACTGGGATTCCAGTGTTGGCCTATGGTCTTAAACAACAATGCACTAACTCCACAAATCCGATAGCCACATCAACAGTCACACCAGTGAGCCTGACAATGCTGAGGGACTATCAGTAGCTTCCTACAAGATAGGAATGGCTACAACAGGAGCCTGAGCAACAAAGATTTTTGTAGGGACCAAAATAATAATAATAATAATAATAATAATAATAATAATAATAATAATAATAATAATGCTCTCAGTAAGATACTCCAGGTAGCTTCGGGGACTCTTGAGTCTGTGGCTTTTCTTCCTTTTTTTTTTTTTTTTCCTCTTAGCCTCTCATCAGTGGACTGTAGTTTTCAGGACACTACTAAACGTGCCAGATGGAATGCAGGTGTAGGTGTGAGGAGACTCCAGCTATCGTCCATTATTAAAGAGATTTGCAAAACACAGAGCACTGCCACTTACACTATCTTGTTGAGGGATATTTATCCTTCATAAAAGTGAGTTGCGTTAACATATAACAGTTACAGTATTTTCGGGACCGTGAGTCCTGAGGACAGCAATGTGAGAGCCGCTGCTTGGGAGAACCAGGAGAACCTTCACTGAGTAGGAAGAGAAGAAATTTGCCGAGTTCTGTCTGCCTCGCCAGCCAGCCCAAGTCCCGCACAGCCACACATGTATTCTCTACCCCAGCGACAGCGGGGTGGGCGGGGATGCTGCCCTCGGGGGGCCCTCGGGACCCCGGAGAGGCTGAGCGACCCCGGGGACGCGTGACTGCCCGGGACCCACGCGGAGCGGAGGACACTCGACCGCAGGCCGGCCCCACCCCGGGGTCCACCGGCCGACCACCACCCCCGGCCCCGCCACCTTCCGCACCCGCCTTCCCCGTCGGCATCCACGCCGGTTTCCGCTCGCAGGAAGCCCCTTTCCTCATGCTTCCCGCGCTCCGCCCTCGCTCGCCTTCGGTTTCCACTGAGTCCCGCGGCTGCGCGAGCGCCCGGGCAGGCGCGCTCCCGGCGCCCGCGCCCCGCGGGCCCAGCGGAGCGGAGTCGCGGGCGCAAGCGCAGTGGCCAGCCTCCGGCGCGGGGGGCGCGCGTGGCGTCTGACCCGGAAGGGCTTCCCCTTTCCGGAGGGGAGAAGAGGACTGCCGGTTGTTGGGCCACTCTGGCGGAGGCGGTGCACTGCCAGTATGCAGCGGTTGCTCCTTCCGCCCCTCAGGTTCTTCACGGGGAGCCACAGTGTCGGGCTCCTCGTCCCTAGGGCGGCGTCCAGAGCACAGGTACCCACTGCAGCTGGCGCCGATCACGGAAGCCCGGCCGGGGTGAAAAGGGCTAGAATGAAGTCAACGGGCCGCCCGGCCAGTGGTTATCTCCTTACCATTTCATGATACATTTCCTTGTGTCCAGACAGCCCCCTGAATGCGGACCCGGAAATACTGTCCCCTGTTTGTGTATCACTGGCCAATTTATTTAGCTTTTAGGTTTCAATTTCCTAATCTGTAGAAGGGGGTAACTACTATTTCACAAGGTGTTGGTGAGGATTACATTTTTTTAATACACATCAGACCTTTAGCACATGATTAAAAAAAAAGAGCTCAGTATTTTTGCACATGGGTTTTTGCTACAAGTAGTCAGGAACTACTGTATAACCCCATTCTACAGAGAAGGGAATTGAGGCTTATTTTAAGTTGCTTGTCTAAGCTACTCAGTTAACTGGAAGTAGGAAACTGAACATACATCTTACTTGTAGGGTTAGAACCAAAAGAGGACATGCATTCTCTTATCTGACAATTATTAGTAGAAGGTGAGAGAGAGAGGGAGAGCAAGATTGATCAGAACCTGCAGGCCTCCCAGATTAGTGAGACACACGACAGATCACCTGAGGATACATGACAGTGAGTTAAGAGTCGTGGTAGGGGAGGTCCTTGTGCTGTGAGAGTGGCCTGTTGTAAGACCCTGCAAAGTTTGGGGAGTACCAATGCAAGCCCGGATCCACAGTGGGGAGTATCAGGCAAGTGGATGGGAGGGGACAGCACATTTAGAGACTGGAAGGAGAAACCCATTAGGGAAAGGGTTCCAGGAATCCAGATGAGAGACGACGGTCAGCCAGAGAGGTAGCTGTGAAAATGCGGCCTTATGGGGTTGAGGCTGAGTGTGGGTAGCAGTCTTTCCCCGATTCTTCCAGTTACATTGTTCTTTCTTGCTCCTTAGTGTGGTTGCGGCTTTGGCAGCAGGCGTCCTCTGAGGCCAGGGCAATATGGCACCGTGGCTGAAGTGGCTTTGCAATCCGGAAAAGGCACAGTGCCCCTTCCTTCGAAGGCGGCTGAGCAGGCAGTGGGCCGGTGGCTCCTGGTGTGCAGCGGGACAGTGGCTGGAGCAGTTATTCTTGGAGGAGTGACTAGGTGAGTCATTTGCTCTCGGTGAACCAGGTTATCGGTGGGAACACCGGGCTTTGGGCATCATCTGGCTTAGCGCTCTCAACTTACAGATGGAGAAACTTAATAGCTTCCTGTATCTTAGAACAGAGTAGTGTTTTATTAGTAGGAGCCTATCATAAGGACAGGTTTCAGTCTTCCCTGATAGCTGGGCATTATTTCTGTAGAGTTTACCTCTCCAGTGTTGAGATTTATCTTTTCCCCCTGCAGTTTGTTTGCTTAGATTAAACACGTAAGTTCAAGTGTCACCATTGCTTCATATGTCTCCTAGGTTCTCTTTATATCTGTAAACAGACTTTATGAATTTAGGCTCTCCCTCCTCCCTCGTCTTCAAAGTTTTGTTGTTACTGAAGAAGGCCAAGTCATTTGTCCTTTGGTTTCCCACAGTCTGACTGTCTGGTGATGTCTAACATATCCTTTGTCCCTGTCTGTCCTGTTGCTTATTAGATTCAGGTTGGTAATGAGGGGACAAAATACTGCATAGGTGATTGGAGCATTCATTCTTGTATCTATTGCGGACGGACTTCAACTGTCTTGATTACTATTGCCTATAGTTGGCTTTTTTACTCTTTGGGGGCCCTCCACCCAGCTCCCAAAGAAGTACAGAGACTTAGTCTTACTTATGAATGCCAGATCTTAGCTTGGCTTGTTTCTAGCCAGCTTTTCTAACTTAAATTATCTCATTTCTCTATAACTATATTTTGCCTCTGGGGTTTTCGCCTTTCTTTATTCTATATATCTTTCTTTCCTTTTTACTCCGTGGCTGGCTGTGTAGCTGGGTGGCTGACCCCTGGCGTCCTCCTCTCCTCCTTTTCTCACTCCTTGCTCTTCTCTTGAGCCTAGATTTCTCCTCTTATTTATTCTCGCTGCATGCCTATCCTTTCTCCTGCCTACCTATTGGCCTTCAGCTCTTTATTAGACCAATCAAGTGTTGTAGGTAGGCAAAGTAACAAAGCTTTACAGAGTTAAACAAATGCAATGTAAAAGAATGCAACACATCTTTGCATCATTAAACAAATGTTCCACAACATAAATGAGTGTAATACATCTTGAACTAATATTCCACAACAATTGCATATATTCATTTCATTAGCATTCCAAAATAGTAATATTTTTATTAGTTCAACTGTAAAGTGAAGCTTTACCTCATTAGCAGTTTCATTATCTGGGATCCAGTCTTTATAGGAAAGGCAAGACTTGATTCATTCTCTTCATTTACTAATTTTCAAAATGACAAATCTGTTCCCAAGACCCTCCAAAGGTTACAAATAAAGGATTTGGGTTTTAAAGTTTTGTTATGAGTTTATACATTTAAAAACATTGGATATGTCTTAGTCTGCTGTGAGGATTGTGTTGATAGCTTCCTTAAATTCCCCCATCTTAATCTCTTAAGATTGGTCCCAGCATCCTTTGACAAGGCCCTTCGATAGCATCTTTGCTTTCTGCTACAATAGGTTTTCCAGGCTTATTTTGTATTTCTTGCCTTGGCCTTTAGATTAGGAACCCTGATTCCTTTTTATTGAAAGTACTTTTTAGTTTGTGTGTGTGCATGTGCATCTGTATGCATGTAGAGGTCAGAAGATGACTTCTGGTTTCATTCCTAGGTGCTGCCCACCATTTTGTGTTTGTTTGTTTGTTTGTTTTGTTTTTTGAGACAAGGCCTATCACTGACCTTGAACTTGCAAAATAGACCATGGAGTTTCCAGAATCTGTTTATCTCTGTCTGTCCATAAGTGGGATTACAAGTGTGTGTTTATTTTTTGTTTTTTTAAACGTAGGCTCTGGGGCTTTGTTCAGGCCAGCACTTTATTGGATGAGCTGCCCCTCCAGCCCCGACTTTTTAACATAATGAAGTGTGTGTGTTTATCTTCATATTCCTTGCACTCCTGTTTCAAAGTACTATGTTGTTAAACATTGGCTGCTATGGGAAATTGCAGCAAATTTAAATATTGTTATCTTGAACTTGTACTTCTGTAATAAGTCTCTTTTCCTGATGTAGAGAATGTTAGTTTTAGCTGGTATTATACATAATTCAATGGTTCAATGAATACTTAGTGTATGCAAGCCCCTGGGTTCAGTCCTTAGCACCAAAGTAATAAGGATGTTGTTTATGTATTTATTACACATTTATTTAATCTGAACATTGTTTTTGCCTGTAAAGAAACGCTAGTGAAAGAATAAAGTGGGACCCAGTCATGTGGCACATGCCTGTAATCTCAACACTTAGGAAGTGTTCAGAGGCAACTGAGGCTACCTCGGAGACCCTGTTTCAGGAAAGAAAGAAAAAATCAACAAACAATAAATGGGGTGTGGGGTGGGGCTGAGTAAAAGAATTGAGAGAATAAACTAAAAGTGTAAAGAAATAAGAGCTGGCATGCAGGGCCTGGTTTGTGCAGGAACCTGGATTCCATTTCCAACATTGCAAACAGAAAAGGAAGAGGAAAGGAATCCCTACCCAAGGGTTAAGTTCACATCTGCTTGTTGCTGTAAACTATTTATGAATAACCTAAATCATACACTTACAACTGTTCTATCCTAAGGCTGACAGAGTCTGGCCTCTCAATGGTAGACTGGCATTTAATAAAGGAGATGAAGCCACCCACAAGCCGAGAAGAATGGGAAGCTGAATTCCAAAAATATCAGCAATTTCCAGAATTTAAAATGTAAGTGTTAGAAACAATCAGGGAAATGTCTTTATTTGTTTGTGCGCAGCCTGCTTGGAGACATGATTTCTCACTGAACCTAGTGCTAAGCTCACTGCTGGCGAGTCTCAGTGATTTTCCTGTCTGACCCCACAGCACTAGAGTTACAGGAACACATGACCATGGGTGGGTTTTGATATGGGTGCTGGGGATTTGAACTCAACTTCATGCTTGTGCAGCGAGCATTCTTACGCACTGAGCCATCTCTGAAGCCCCTCAAGTAAATATCCTGTCTTAGTTAGGGTCATTATTGCTGTGATGAAGTGCCATGACCAAAGGCAACGTGGGAGGAAAGGGTTTATTTCACTCACAGTTCCATATAACAGTCCATCATTAAAAGCAGTGAGGGCAGGAACCAGGAGGCAGAAGCTGATGCAGAGGCCATGGAGGATGTTTACCACCTAAAGGCAGTGGAACCTGGGAGAATGGAGCCTAAAAATGAAGCAGACTAAAGTCTCATGCAATAGCCAACTTCATTCAGAGCATCGGGAAACTTATACTCTGAGGGCTAAGAAGGATCACATGAGAAAGGTGTTCAGTCACAAGGAGAGCCACACACGGCAAAAACATGCTTTTCCATAGAGGCATAGGAGTAACAACAGCTGAAGTACACTCACTCCTGTCTGCTACACCTGGGAGGATCGTGAAAACACATTCCAAGAACAAGTCTGTGCTTTGAAGAAACTGAGGTTACAAGACTCTTACCTTTTTTCTTGAAGTTTTCTCACAAGCACTCCAAATTCTCATATGACTCCATTCTTGGATTGTGTTCCGACAGAAGGGTGCTGCTTACTGGCTTGCTCCCCATGGCTT